GCATCAATGTGGTCATTTCATAAATGCTGCCAGCCCTCATGGGAGATATTCTAGGAAAGAAACCCAAAATACTATTTTTTTCATTCACCCCTTTCCCTTTCTACTCATAAAAAAGGGAACCCAGAGATGAGACAAATATGGTGGAGGTTGCTTAGTAGAATACAAGGGAATTGTGAGTTTTGGACCCAACAGAGAAAAAGGATTCTCCCCGCCCCCCTAAGTTGAATACTGTTAATCATATAAACAATGCTTATTTTGAAAAATTTCTCCAAAAGCTAGATATTTGAAGAATAGATATTAAGTTTTCTAAGCAATAGAAGTATCTTAAGAACAATGTAAAATCCTTGACAGTGCCTGGCACATAGCAGGCACTTAATTAATTTTATTGATTAAAATATCATGGTCTGATTAGAACACACTGTCAATCTTAATGGAAGAAAAATTCTCTATAAGTTTTAAAATCTAGATCCTGGAAACACGGTTTAGTTTAATTCAATGAATATTTGTTGGGAGGTATTGTGGTGTGATGGTCTCTCTATTTCTGAATCTGGAGCTGTGTTACTTAAAAGTTCAAACCTTAAGTGAGTTGCCCTACATACTACTCATATGAACTTGGGCTAGTCATCTAATCAATCAATCAATTAAGATTCATCAATCAGTAGTCATTTATTCAGTAATTGCTACCTGCCAGGCCCATGATATGTGCTGTGGATAAAAAGACAACAAGGAATCAATGCCTGACCTTAAAAATTTCCCGTTCTAATGTGGGAGAGAACATGCATATAAATAGATATATACAAATCGTGTACAAAAAATAGATATAACGTAATCTTGGGTAAGGAAGGCACTCACATCTGGGCTCCAACATCCTATTCCATAAAATGAGGGAGGTGGCTATAAAAATCTCTAAGATCGCTTTTCAATCCAAATCCTCTAATCCTATTGTGCGCAAGGCCCCAGGGAAGACATAAAGATGAACGAAGAAGCCTACATGCTAGAACATGGAAGCTAACCAGAACTCCCCAACATTTTTCTAAAAAAATTGAACATAAGCACATAGGAGGGGCAAGTAGTGCTTCTTTTAAAAAATAAGTCTTCCAGGTCCCTCCAGATGTATTTACTCTCTATGCATATGACTTAGAATTAGAGAGATTTGGAATTGGAAGGGACCTGAGAGGTCATGATCTTGTCCAACCCCTCCTCCTTTTTCCGAATGAAGAAACTGAGACGGAAGGGATAATGTTCAATTACCTGCTTAATATCACACAGGCAGTAAATGGAAGATTAAAAATTTGAGCATAGCATTTCTGACTTTAAATCAAGTATTTTATCCACTGTATAATTTCCTGCCCAAATTTAGTTGACCTGCCTATTGTCACTCTAATTTTTCACCTGTACTCTTTCCCTTTCATGGCTTCTAGGCCAACTATGATTTTTAGCTTTAATTCATCAAGTCACCTCCCCATTTCTCATTTAAAAAATCTTAAATAATAATAACTCACATTTAGGTAGTATAATAGATAGAGCACTGGATTGGGAGTCAGGAAGACCTGAGTTCATATCTAACCGGAGACATTTATAGGCCCTGGACAAGTCACTTAACCACTATCTGCCTCAGTTTCCTCATATGTCAAATAGGAACACTGATAGCATCTATTTCCCAGGGTTGTTGTGAAGATGAAGTGAGATAATATTTGTAAGTGCTTTCCAGACCTAAACAGCACTATATAAATTCTAGCTATTGTCATTATTATGGGAAGCTAGGTAGCTCAATGGATAGAGTATCAGGCCTGGAGTCAGGAAGATTCATCTTCCTGAGTTCAAATCAGGCCGCAGACATTTACTAGCTGTGTGACCCTGGGCAAGTCACTTAATCCGGTTTGCCTCCGTTTCCTCATCTTTAAAATGAAGTGGAGAAGGAAATGGCAAACTACTTGAGAATCTTTGTCTAGAAAACCCCGACATGGGGTCATGGACAGTTGGAAATGACTGAACAATAAGAACAACAACAACAACAACAACAAAATACTTCTTTAGGCAACAAGGGGGATGCAAAAAATGGGCCTTGTTTTCCTATAACTTCTAATCCTGGGAAGAGCAGGGGGAGCTATATGACACATTAATACAGCTAACAGGGGTATAGAATAGAGAATGTGAGGTTAAAGGGATGATGTTCCTGACTGGGAGAATAAGGGGCTTACTGCCTGGTGAAGCAATTACAGACTGAGTTGTGTCTTGAAGGACTTGAAGTATTTCAACAACTACAACTTTGGAGTAGGACATGCCTGAGGACAGAGTGAGGCAGTGTTGATAGTGCTACTAGAAAATCAGTTGGAAGCTCATGTTTTGCTGATGATGGGTCAGCAGTGTCATCTTGGAAAGCATGGTTACTTATGTTAGCAGATGCAATGTCTAACACATATTTTGTATTATCGTAGCTCATAATGGGATGATCCCTATGTCTTGGGTAAAACTATATGATTCCTGGCACAAGGTAAATATTCAATCCATATCAAAAAAAAAGACTTGTTGATGTTCTTTGCATAATACACAGACTTTTTGAGGCCAGTTGAACCTCAGTAAATGGATAGAATTAGTATCAACTCTGTTTTATCTCTAGAGACTAATGCATGGATCATACATTAAAGTATTAAGTTGGGGGCAGCTAGGTGGTACAGTGGATAGAGTACCCTGCCCTGGAGTCAGGAGGACCTGAGTCCAAATGTGGCCGCAGACACTTACTAGCTAGCTGTGTGACCCTGGGCAAGTCACTTAACCCCCATTGCCTCCAAAATAAATTTGCCATTTCTTCTTCTCCTCATCCTATTGCATGAAAATACTTTCCCCAACCTTCTCTTCCTTTATTCCTGTCTCAGATGAAGGAGGTGGCCTTTCTCTTTGCTAAGACTAACTCCAACATGAACTGTTGATCCTGACTCTTCCTGTCTTCTCCAGCATATGGCCCCACTATCATCCTCATTCTACTTCTAATCTTCAGTCTCTCACTGTCTACTAGTTGCTTCTTTGCTGCCTACAATGTCCATGTCTACCTCATCCTTAAAAAAACAAAACCAAACCAAGCCCCCATTTGAATCAAACCCATTAGTTGTAATCCCATATTTCTATTCTCTTCACTGTGGAAGCTCACTTCATCCCATGGATTATTTCTTATATTGGAAGTACTTTCCACTCCTGAGCCCTCACCTTCTAATTGGCTAATTCCTCCCAGAGCCACCAATGTAAGGAGGAGATCCGGATCAAAGACGTCTTCATCCGTCTTCAGACTGTATGACAAATTCTCTCCTCAAGACTTTGTGTCTGGTGAATTCTTATTCCTTCCTCCCCCATCAGATTCCTTTTATGTTCACACATTAGAACATAAATTCCTTGAGGGAAGGACTGTCTTTCTGTTTCGGTTTGTATTCCCCTTGCTTAGCACGGTGCCTTGCACATAATAAGCATTTAATAAATGCTTGTTGACTGACTGACTCAACTGTTGGACTCTGCCTTCTATAGTAGGGTAGATGCCTTTACTACTTCTTTGTCAATTTGGTCAGATCATCAGCTGTCAAAGATTCAATTCTTATTCTTTGCAGGTGATTCCTGCATGTATGTATCCAACCCTAGTCTTTCCCTTGAGCTCTAGACAATCTCCAATTTCCTTTTGTACATCTTCAATTAGATATCCTGTTAGGTATCTCAACTCAATGTGTCTAAAACAGAGCTCATTATCTTTCACTACAACAACCCTCCCTACTTCTGAACTTATTTGTTGCTGTTGAGGGCACACCCATCCTTTGGGTTACTCCCACAGCCTCGAATCCTCATTCTTAAATCCCCATCCTCACATCACAGATCCATCCTGTGGCCACATCTTGTCATTTCTACCTTTTCAACATCTCCTGTTTGTGTTTCCTTATCTCCACTTAAGTAGTTACCACTTAAGTAGTTCAATCTGTCATCACCTCACAGGAGATATACTGAAATAGCCTCCTGGTTTGTCTCCTGGCCTTAAGTCTCTCACCACTCTATTCCATGCTGCACTCAACTGCCAAAGCGATTTTCCTATGGTAAGGAAAATCATGATACTCCATTCTCACCCCAATCCCTTTAATAAACTCCAATGACTCCCTATCATCTTCAAGACCAAATAGAAAGTCCTCTGTCTGGCATTTAAAGCCCTTCACAATCTGGCCTCTTCCTACCTTTCCAGTCTTACATTTTACTTCCCTCCACAAATTCTATTTCTTTTCGTTTCCACTGATCTGCTTACTATTCTTTACACAAAGTACTCCATCTCCTTTCTTTTTTTCCAAAATTTTTTTAATTTTAAACTTAAATACACAATAAGAAAAAGAAACATTATGGACTTAAATATTAAAACTTAAATACAAAATAAGAAAAGAAAAAAAAACCTGCCTTATGCTTGGCAGAATGTAAGAGATGGTTCAAAATATACAACAATAAATTTCCATTTCAAAAAAGCCTATGTAAGAAATACTAACACATTGTGTTCAGAGCTGTCCATTTTTTCTTTGCTTCCTTTAAGTTTTCTTTTGTTCTTCATCTCCTTTCACCATGCATCGGCACTGTCTGTGCCCCGAATCTATCCCTCCTCACCTTTACTTCTTTAATTTCCCTGATTCCCTTCAAGACTCAGCTCAAATCTCACTTCCTGAATGAAGCCTTTCCAGGTTCCCCAGATGTTAATACCCTGTCTTCTGACATTACCTTCCAACTACTCTGTATCTATCTTCTCTATATAGTGTTCTCTTCATGTTATCTCCCTGATTAATAGTGGATTCTTTGAGGGCTGGGGCCATTTTTTGCTTTCCCCTTTTATTCTTAGCACTTAGCACAGTGTTTGGCACATAGTAAGCACTTAATAAATGCTAGTTGACTGACAAAAGACTAATTTTTTCGAAGGACTAATCCTGGCTCTTTGGATTGTATGGAAAACATGACTCCATTTTTTATTTTTATTTTTTCTCTTTTACCAGTGTAAAGAACATGACTTAGCCATGATTAATCAGTTGTTGGAGGATCCGAAGCTGACGGCAAAGAAGTACAGGGAATGGAAGAGCACAAATAGCTTGTTGGTTCAGGAGATCTATCAACAGCAGAGTGCAAAGACTGCCGCTGAAGGGTCTTACCTGGAGCCTGAGGGACAACCTTCCTTTACCCATGTTGAAAGTTCTATTTGAGATCCAGCCAGAACTCTCTCCCTTACCTTGTTTTATCCTTGGCAACCCTTTAAGCTGCTATGAAATCTTACATTTTTCCTTAAAAGGTGACCTAAAAACTATTCCCCAGATCCTCAGATCTGGCCTGACAAAGCAGCTTCACTGGAAGCAAATTAGCTAATGCATGGAATCCCTATTTCAAATGACAGTGTATCCATTTGATGGATGAATCACTTTAATTCAGGTATATACAATTGAGGGCCTTCTATATATGAGGTGCTATAAGAGGTGAGGAAGTGGGGTGAGGGACATGATCTGCTTTCAAGGAACATACAACAACAATCTGTGGAATAGAGGTTTTCACTTACATGTGATTTTGACAGTTTCATGATTGAATCCCTCGGTAACAGGAAGAGAATGTGAAAACAAATATATGTGGTCTATCTTGTTGGCTTGCCATCTTTCCCATGTCACTTTTAGATGGGAAGAATACAGTATAAATGCTTTTTTGTGTGTTGCTATTTAATTCAGAATCTTGTCTTTGGGGCTGCAGATCACCAATCTCATTTCCACATCAACTTAAAGGGAATACATTGGCATTTTAAAAAAAAAGATTCAGAAGAGAGCTATTCCATGGAAGCAATGTTCTATCATTTGTGGACTCAAAGGACTACTTGACATTTTCAAATTTCACACTGGTTGGGGGAATTCTACAGCACGTGGAGAGATGTTGCTTGTGCACTTGGGGACATCTATTTTCTGACTTTTTTTCATCAACTACAGGAGTTAACCATGCATCGGTAAAGGTGTGTCTGTTATCTGTAGATTTGACTGTGGTACAACTACAGGATTTGCATTTGTGTGCAGGTGCCCAGGAGCCACACAGCAAGGATATTTTTGGCACCTGAAGTTTTTCAATTTCTTTATTGAAAGGAATGAAAAAAATTTTTGAGCTAATTAATAGTTGGCTCTATTTTTGTAAGGTTATCTGTCACTTTATGGCCTGTGTGAATATATAGCTATGTACATATAAATATGTATATGTTTGTTATTTAAGTCTATTTATAGAAGTCCAGATTTACCCGTGTTAATAAGATCATGCTATTTTTCCCTTGTTGAATAGCCTACATGTAGATATGTTTTTAATTTGAGAAAAAATGGGGATGCTAGTGAGTTGTTTCAGTCATTCTGCTGCATCGACTGTGAAGCCAGAAGTATTTTCAGGAAATCTGTAGGATATATATGGGGACATGCCAAATATGTTGTTTGGTTCCTTTATCTTCCATTGTAGCAGTATAGTATAAAGGAAAGCACACTGTACCAGGAATCAGAAGATCTGGATTAAGGATGTGGCTCTATCATTTATTAGTCATGGAATCTCGGCCAAGTCACTTGTCTTCCCTGAGCCTTGCTTTTCCCATCTATAAAATGGAGCTAGGAATACTGGACTAGACAATCTCTAAAGTCCCTCCCAGCTTTAACGTTACCTGATTCTCTTTCCATATTTATATGTGTAGTGGCATTCACATAATCATAGAACCTTAGGGTTGGGAGGGACCTCAGAGAAGTTGTAGTCCAAACCCATACCTGAACAATAATCCTTTCTACAGTATAGCTAGCAAGGCATCACCTCACCTTTGCTTAACGACATCCAGTGATGGGACATCAACTACTTCCTGAAAAACAGCCCATTCTATTTTTTTTTTTTGGCTAGGCAATGGGGTTAAGTGATTTGCCCAGGGTCATACAGCTAGTAAGTGTTATGTGTCTGAGGCCGGACTCAGGTCCTCCTGAATCCAGGGCCAGTGCTGTATCCACTGCGCCACCTAGCTGCCCCAACCCATTCTATTTTGTAAGAGTTCTAGTAGTTAGGAAGTTTTCCATTTCACAAGGCTTTCCATCTCTTTTTAACTCCCATCTGTTTCTCCTGGTTCTGTCCTCAGAGACCAAATCAAAAAACTCTAATATCTCATCCATTTGATATCCCTTCACATATTTGAAGAGAGCTGTCAACTATTTGTAAAACAAATAAACATTTAGTTTAAAATTATTTAAATTGGGAAATTTTGGCCAGAGAGGTCTTAGAGTTCATTACATTTTCATATATCTTTGTCATTCAAAAGAAAAAAAAAGGAATTCTATGTTTTGCTTCATTATAAGGAACCTCTTCCTTTAAACAGCTCCCTCTCACATTGCTATGTGTATGTATAGATATATCTATATATATATCTATATATACACATACACAACATATATATATTTCAACTATGAATATATATGTTATATATAATTGCATTGTTTGTGATTTTGGTCATATTATATATGTACATATGTGTATATATGTGTGTATATATAAAATGTGTATATATTTGCAATTATATATTTGTGTGCATATACAAACACACATGTAGTCAAATGCCAAATGGATGCAAACACTCCTGGAACAGCATTCTGATTAAGATGTGCTAGAAATCCTAATACTCCTTGTCAAAGATCAACTTGGTTTATTAGAGTAACAAGCTGAGGAAAGAAGCTGCTTCATTTAGGAATTATCTTAATCACTCCTCACTAGGAGACAACCACAGCTCACTTTGGTCTTACATCAAGCAGACTCTGAAATGGCACATTCTATTTCACAGCCTAAACATTAAAAAAATATGAGGGAACTCCTAAACTGTACCTATCAGCTAAATGAAAATATTCAATCAATTTTGGTAACATCCATTAGTGGTTAAGATGTCCCTCTTGAAAACTGAAATTCCACATGTTAAGCTCTGCCCTTGTCTCTGTATAGACTGGGGTGGTGGTGGTTGAGGGAAGGTGTGGAACTGGACCCAAGGAGTCAACTAAATGTCATTGGTTGTAATTCTTAGAATTATTACAGTCTTACTAATGCTTTGAAGCTTCCTCTGTTGCAAATGGAGTTACTCCATAGGCATTACTCTTTACATTGATAGATTCTAGTGGAAACTTTTTTTTTTTAAAAAGCATCACATGATGCTTAAAAAAGTAGTCATCATATAATGACTGATGAAAAGCCCACGTACTCCCAATGGTATCCTCTGATGTCAAGGGGATATGAGGAAGGCCCTCAAGCTATGGAGTAGATCTCCTGCAGTGAATTTAGGAAAGGACATGGAAAAGGATATCTAAAGGATGGGTATGCATGGGTTTAAGAGAATACCCTAATCAGTGAGATTACTGATCTAGTGGAGGAGGATAAATGAAGGGTACTATTGCACCCTCTCTTTTGAAGTTCAAGTAATATTGGAAATAGATCTAGAAAGTTGAAAACCTTGTCCTGTCCCAGGTAATGGTAGTTTTGCATTACTGAGTATAGAGGGTCTGACCAAGAGTCAAACTAATAAAGTTATTAGGTAAGGCTCTCCAGATAGCTTCCTGTGGAAAGTGTGGAAATGTCTTCACTGTGATGTATAAGAAGACTGATGGAGGTGAACGTTTTGTGTTTCTTCAAAAGAAATGCTATAGTTACTTGTCGCGCCACCAATGGTTCAACTTCTTTTAGGAATGTTCATAGAAATTTGCTCAAGGTAGGTCACTGTGGGTTAAAAGATGAATGAAAAATGGCATCAATTAAAGCTTATTTTTAGAGGTCAGGTTCTCATGTATCCTGTAACTAACCAAAACCACTCAGATGCACCAGGAAAACTGGATTCATCTAGAGCTACCCTAACCTCTACAGGGTCCCATTGAGAGTAGGTGGTTCAGAGCTTTCCTTGGTGGCTGAGGTCAAAAGAGGATACCCCCTAGAGACACCTCAATCCAGACCTGACTCAAGAGAGGTCATCTCAGAAGATGGAGGGCCAGATATAAGATTTGCTGCCATTCTTCCTCCTCATTCTACAACTCACAACAACGTGCTGTTCACAGGAGTCAGCACCAGAACACTCTGAAGAATATGCTTTGGTGGTGACATTTGGGACGACAAGTCTTTCAACTAGCATCTGGGTCCTCTGTGAGCCCTCTTGCATATGTCATAGAAAACCAGTTCTTGGAAAGTGAAAGATTCAAAGAACATTGCAAAAAATGCCCAGAGACACATTTCTAAAGGTTCTTAGAAGCCCCAGAAGTATTGATATTTGGAGTAGAATTTAGATGTAACATTGATGTGGAAAGCAGAAACTAGAGAAGAAGAGACAGTTTGACATACATTAATGAATTAATTAAATATACACTGAAGGTCATAGTGGTTCAGTCACAGAATCAAAAATTTAGCAGTTGAGAGAGATTTTTAGCAGTCAGATAGTCAAACCCATATACCCACATTTCTCTGCTATAACATGCTTAACAAGTGGTCATCCAGCTTGAAACCTTCCCGCCATTGAAGGGAAATATATCACCTCTTAAGGCATTTCATGCCATTTTGGGGCAGCTCTAATTGTTAGAAAGTTTTTTTCCCCAGCACTGATCATAAATTCACTTTTTTGCAACTTTTATTCATTGCTTCTGGTTCTGTCCTCTGAAAGGAGATACTCCCTTTTACCTGTGATGGCAGAGAAAGCCCTCTTTTCAAGTGTAGTGGAAATTCCTTACTTCATCCCTTTCACCTCCCACCTACGACCGTAATAATGAATTATTATATGAATTGGGGACACAAACCATTTAACTTACTAGTATGTTTTCCCTCATTTTGTTAAGATAAATTATACCATTAGGCATTTGGAGATCCTTGAATAAAATGGACATTTAAAAAACTGATAGCATCCCACTTTCCCACTTTTTTTGTGAAGAGGGAATTAGAAATTGCCACAGATTGTTACTTTGGCCAAAACCCTTAACCTCAATTTCTCCGTAGGTAAAATAGGTATTGTTTCCCTTATTCCCATAGAGATGTTATGAAAATGAATGGGATAGTCAGATGTTCAAGTAATAAGCCTTTGGACTTCAAAAGGTGCTATACAATCCCAAGGGATTAAACATAACCAAGTTTCACACTTAATATTAGTAAGTATCTTTCTAAAATGTACTCCCATGAATTGTTCTCAGAAATACTTGTATTAGATATAGACCCACACATATTCTAGGCAATGAAGATCAAACTATGAGACCATACTAAATAGCTATCAGGGTCCAAAATGAAGTGCTAGGTGCAGTATTTCGCTGACTTAATAGTACTATCAGCCTATAAGCTCCATGAGGCCAGGGACTGCCTTCAATTTTGCATTCTAATGGGACTAATAAATAGCAGGTGCTTAATAAATGATTATTGGATTCAGTTGTTAAATTTGAATTGGACCTTCCTATCCATGTTCCTCTTAATATAGCCAATATGTCAGTATTCTCATTTCAAAGTAAGAAAACTGAGTTTCAGTAAGGTAAAAAGGTGATGTGCTTTTTGCAGCATGACATAGAGGAAAGAACACTAGATGGAGAATCAGAGACCTGGATTCTAGTCCCAGCTTTTCTCCTAATTAACTGATTTGGAGCCAGTCATTATAACCTCTTTGGGGCTCAGTTTCCTGCTGAAAATCAAGGGATCTCTGAGATCTCTTTCAGTTCCAACATTCTAAGACTCTCAACAATTCAGAATTATAAGTCAGATAAACAGAATGTTATTGTGCTGGGGAGCCAGGTTTCTGTTTAAGGTAGAGTCAGTGAGGCTATTCTGTGGTACATGGGTCAGCCACAGGTATCACCATAAAAGACCATAGACTTCTACGAATGATTTTCAGCTGTGGAAGACTGTGTGAAGGTTCGGGTTCGGTTTTTTGTTGTAAGAATGTGAGAAGTTGTGGGTTTGCTTTTTTCTGTAAGGCAGGAAGTGGCTTTCCTGCCTTCAGTGTAA